TCCGACAAAGACTCGGACCTCGAAAGTATCCGTAAGGTCCTTACCCAAGAAGAGGCGCTCCTTCTTCCGTTCATCTCCAATTCCCCCAACCGCTGGCAACCCAGCAGACGAAGCCACAACCACCATCGCCGAATAAGGTCGACGACGACGACGACGACTTCGCCAAATGGGTCACCAAAGCCGCTGCGCTACAAGCCGACCAGGCCGACTGGAGCATCGGCGTCATGGTCACCTCGCGCATGCCGCACACCAAGCCGCTCGGCGTCCGGCGACGGATGAAGCAGAGCCTGAAGCTGGTTCTGGACACGTGGATCCTGCACCAGAAGAACAACGACCTGCAGATTTCGGACCATATTCTGGACAAGCTCTTTTTGACGTTTAAAGGGAACCGAATCTACAGCAACAGCACCATTGCCTCGCTGGGCGTCAAAGTTGATGCCAACGGCGTTTTGCAGCTGCCGCCTGGTGCCATGACGAGCCGAGAGGCTATGGATGGGTATACCATCCAAGGGGGAACCCCAGGGCTGGTGCTGGAGGTTTGGCACGAGGAGTTTTACGAGGACGAGCTGGCGAAGGAGAAGAAGCGGAGGGAGAGGGAGTTGGGGCTCTTTGACGATGACGATGACGATGACGAGGATCAGCGAAGCGGAACTGGTGCGTCTGGTGGTGCCAATGGGTTGTCTAGAGGTGGGAGTGAAGCTGCTGCCCCTGAAGTCAAGAAATCCAAGATTAAAGTGGTGCTCAAGGCCAAGGACCTCCAACCGCTCAAGATTGCGGTTTATGAGGATACGCCGGTTGGTACCATGGTTCAGGCCTTCAGGAAGCAGAGAGATATCGCGCCTGAGAAGGCCGTGGTCATACAGTTCGATGGCGAGGCGCTGAAAGAAGATATGCTGGTCGGAGCGATGGATATCGAGAGGGACGATACGAACCAGTTTGAGGTCTACATCAAGTAAAATACTATATGACCTGAAGGAGGATTGACCGGAGACTCGGTTTTGGGGGACATCTTTCGCATTTTACCTTTTCGCTATCTTGGAGTTCAGAAAGGGAGTTTACGGGACTTGATATTTAGTGCTGTGACGCATTGCAGCAGCAGGGGCAGAGATCACAAAAGGAGGTTTGGGCTGTTTTTATCTTGCCAGGAAATGGTTTTATGGTACGGGGGAGCTACTTCAAACTCTTCAGCAGATACCCATATGCGGATTTCAGTTTTGCTATATCTTGTTCTCACTTCTTCTTGAGCCAGTTTCGCGGCTTATATATGGAACAAGCCGGCCGGTGCACGGAAAACATTCTTTTCGGGGTTTTAAGATGGGTCCTATCGATGGATTTTGAGAAGGTTTGACTACTCTGTCCGTTGTCTCTAGGACCTTTGAAAGGTCAGAATGCAGTGACCTTAAGTAGGACTTTTAACAGATTGGCCGCATGACGGGTTCCTCACATCTCTTCTCACTTGTTTGATGAACATGTATGTATAGCTCGCGTTTAGTGAATATCTTTCTCGATTGTCTTCTCTTCTCGTCCCCCGGGTATAGATCATAACCACACTTTGAAAAAGATTCGCAAGGCGGTAGCTCCCCAATATCCCGTATCTCATCTGCTCCCTCGTTTTCCACACATCCTCGTAGATATCTCCAGCATGATGATGTGATGATTGAATCGTCCATTTCATATCCTCCAGACTTCAAAACAAAAGCATAATAATAATGGACTCCTGAAACGCCAGAACCCTTTTTACGTGTAGCTCCCGAAATGCCACCTCCGTTCCCTTGTATGATATAAAACCGTCGATTTTTGTTGACTGAACCGTACACCCTCCCGCGCGTGAATCATTCATTAGGTATAAAGCAACACCACATGACATGATATGATGTCGTCCTTCATCATGAAAGAAGAGCGGAGCTGCTTAGAATCTCTCCTTTTGCCTCGAGGCAATGATCCTAAGGTTGTTGTACACCTTGCCGGGCTGGTGTCCGAGAATGAGGGAGACAACGGACTCGCGGGCCATGCCGATGTTCTCGAAGGCGCCGAGGATATGGACGCGGGAGCCGGCGAGGACGATTCTGGTTTTTGTGGCTATTTTCGTCGTTGTCAGTACTTCAGTCCATTTTCCTCCATTCTCTTGAAGTGATGAACTTACCGTTCTCGATCGCAAACTTGGTCTTTCCGTCCTTGCCTGCAATACGACCAATCGCACGTCCCAGGGCATCCGGGCCGAGAGTCTGACGGACATCCTTGACGTCGAAGGACTGGATATAAAGCGAATCGAGACGGAGAAGGGCAATGGCGTCGTCAATGTCGAAGCCCATGGCGAAGGCGGAGACGAAATCGGCGCCCATCTGGAGGGACTCGGGGGTGGTGGTGTGTCTGCTGGAGCGGAGCTCGACGCGCTTCTCCTTGATGTTCATGCGGACCTGGAGCTTGCAGTGCTCTACGAGTGGGGGGTAGCTGATTGATCGAAAACAGTCAGTATCCTTGCCCAAGCATTATCACATGTTCCCGTGGTGGTTTGTCCCTCACATCTTGGTCCAGTTGGCCTTGAGAGCCGACATGCGGTTTGGCGGGATACCGATCTTCCTGGTCTCTGCGCGGCGAATGATCTGGACGTCCTGGCCGGGGGCGAAACGGGGGCGACCCTCCTCGTCGACAGCCATCTGCACATCTTGGTCGGCAGAAGGGGGAGCGGCGGCGCTGGGATCGGTGAGGTTGGCGGCCTCGTTGACGTCGAGGATGAGCTCATCCTCTTGCTCGGTCTGGATGGGGATCTGGGCGGTGGGAGCCTCGACGGGCTGACGAAGTGCTGTTGGCGCAGGCATATTGGGCAACGAGATGTGGTTTTGTTTTATCGGACGGTGATCGTCAAGGTATCGAGTTGTTTGTTGATGGGAGTCGGCGATAGAATTCTGGGGAATCGACAGGCCAAGAGCGATGAGAGATCTATCGAAAGATTGGCGGGGGAGAAGATTGGTGACGGGCGACGGGATGTGGTGTTGGGGATGCTGGGCTGCTGCAGTCGTGAATTACGGAGATCAGATCTGGGAGTCGAGGTCTGCCTTTTGCGCCGTCCGTCTCTAGAATTTTGATAGTGTTTATCGGTTTTGATAGCGCGGAGGGGAAATTCTTGACAAAAAGCAGTAGACCCACAAAAGAGCAGCATTTGAAGCTTATCGATTGGCTGGATGTCCTCGAGGCCGCTAGGACCCTTGCCAATCGCTCTTGCCCATGCACTAACACTCACTGAGGAATCCCTGTAATTACAGGGTTAGCGTCATTGACGCACTTTTGAACCTGGACAGGCTTCGAACCGGCAGCTTTTTCCAAACTCCAGGTTCTTGGTCAGAACAGCACAAGCATGTCATTCTAGACTGGGCCACCACCACCACCACCAAGCAACAACATACTCTTTCACCCTCGAGAACCGACCATGGATACGACACCTAGCCGTCGTCACCTCCATCGTCGCTGAAAACAAAAAGAAAACAGGTCCCTTCGAAGTCGACAGTATGAATTTCAACAATGTCTACTAGCGCTACGACGACCCAGCTGGGCCGCCACTTATGGTCTTCCATACGAGATCCTCACGTCACCTCGACTCTATTTACTGCCGCGATACTTCTTCCGACATGTCAGCCATTACTTGGCCGTCACGGACTCGGCCTCGGCCACTCGACTTTGCTTGGGATACACCAACAATACGGACAGCAACAGAGCACGCGACAATTTACCTCTTCGGCAAGTCGCTTTTTCTTTCCAACAATAAAGTCGCAAAGAATACACAACCACCAGTCACAACCATCCCATAATGTCCTACGAAGCTGTACCTCTGGAGGCTTACTCCTCCTTGGGCTCACCACAAGCCCTTCTTCAACGAGCGCGGTAGAGACATCCGCACTATCCGGCAATGCCGCGCAAAAGGCAAAAATGAGCCACCTGGCTCGACAGGCTCTGGTCTTGGGAAGGATACGAAACACCGCAACCACAACAATATGTATAGCAGGCAAGCGCTATCAAAGTTCCGGAAAAGAGACCAAGGGCGATCATGACGAGACCAAGGCCGAAGAAAAGACTTCTACAACCTCTCAGCAAAAGTCCGAGCAACCACAGCAACCTCCACAGACTGAGACGACTCCTAGTTCTGGTCCCCAACCAACTCCGGAGCATCACTCACTAGCAGACTCCATGTCCAAATACCTTCACCTTCCTCACCTCCCCCATCTGCCTCATCGGCCAACAAAGGAGGAGCTTCTGGCGGCAGCAAGTGGGTTCTGGTCACGGCTCAAGGTCCGGTTCAAGTGGTTCTCCATCAGGAGTATGCGCCCATGGAACGCCGACGAATGGGGAGCCTTTGTGTCCTTCTTCTTGTTCGGTCACTTGGTCTGGATTCTTGTGGGAACGACTACCTTCTTCTCCCTCATCATCCTCTTCATCAACACGGTATTTGCCCAGGAAACACTGGCCAAGTGGATTGGAGACTACCTGACCCAATCGGCCGGTCTTACGGTTGTCTTCGAGTCGGCTATTGTGCCCAAGTGGGGGGACGGTGTCATCACTTTCCGCAATGTCTTCGTTTCTCGGAGACCCGGCCAGCTCAAGTCTTCCGTCAAGAAGGGTTCTTCTGGTGCTGCGGCCGAGGCAGCCGCTGCTAAACTGGCCGCTGAGCAAGAAGGTACTGTTATGGAAGAGGACGATGGCAATTACACCCAGTTCGACGTCACCATTGACACCGTGAACGTGGCTCTGTCATTCCTTAAGTGGTGGAACGGAAAGGGTCTTCTCAAGGATGTCGAAATCAAGGGTGTCCGAGGCGTTGTTGATAGGACTTCGGTCGTCTGGGGCAACGAGGAACTTAACCCCCTTGACTTCAGACATGAGCATAACCCTGGCGACTTCGAACTGGATTACTTCAAGATGGAAGATCTGCTGGTAACCGTCCACCAACCGGGCGGTTTCCGTCCCTTCTCCGTTTCCATCTTCTCCTGCGAGCTTCCTCAGCTACGAAAACAGTGGCTATTCTACGACTTCCTCTCAGCATCTCACATGTCGGGCTCCTTCGACGGGTCACTGTTTACCATTCATCCCAGACAGATTCACGGTGTATCCTCAGCAGATAACAGCCGTCACCAACAAGAGGAATTCGGCGCTCCCTCAGCCTGGAAGAAGTTCTCCCGCCTACGGATTGATGGGCTAAAGATTGACCACCTCAACCGCGGCGTGGAAGGACCATTCGGTTGGATTTACGAGGGCAACGTCGACATTGTCGCCGACGTCATGTTCCCCTCCGACCCCGACGAGGGTCTAGGCAAGGTCGTTGCCGAATTCTACGACAAGATGGAAGAAGCCGTGACCAGCAACCGCTACCTCAAGATCCTAGACGGCAACATCTCCCCCAACAGCCGCATCACCACCGAAACCACCAACACTAGCAGCCCCACTCTCGAAAGCGGGCCAATCCCCAACGCTACCTCCATCATCAACCTCGCCGACCACCACGACGAGCTCCCCACCTCGGACCAGCACTTCCACCGATTGATCCAGCCTGCAACTCCCAAGGAGCCGGCGCCCGTCGAGGAAACCCCCTCCTACCTCGTCATGGACCTTCGCATCCACCTCAACGACGTCCGCGCCGCCGTTCCTCTGTTCAACAACCAACATATGAGCTACGTCAATCAAGCTCTGGTGCGCCCCATTGTCGCCTACATCAACGCCAAGCGGACTTATATACCCATCAGCTGCCGAATCGTCAAGCGCCTGACTGACTTCGACGGTTCTTGGACTATCTGGGACTGCGGGTTGATGGACGATATGGGTGCTGAAGTCTACTCTGCTTTTGCCAGGAATGTAGAGGATCAGCAAAGTAGGGTGAGGAGATTCAAGCGCGTAGGACTGTGGACTGTCTCTCTCGTGGTACATGCGTTGTTGGCGGGCGTAGCGGGAGATTTGATGTGAGCAGTCATTTGTATTGGCTCACGATTATAGACTTGTTTGTGACAATACGGTATTGTACAACCAACCCCTTTTCTCTCTTCTCTACTTTTTACTGTGTGGGTTATCATACCTCACCCGGTACTTTACTGTACTATACATACACGCACAATTATGGCTCTGAAGAAAACAGCCGTACGAAGAAACAGGTCATGGTTATGGATGGAGGGGAGGAGGAGAACTGTTTAACGTTCTTAATGACCCGGACGGAAAGATTACTGGCTGGATTCATAGAAAGGCGGGAGGCGGTTTTTTTTTATATCGTGAGTGATGATGACCGCTCAGGGCAGGTTGAACATCACGATGGCGTTATAGAGACTTTTTTTTGGTTAGGAGCATAAGAAACATTGTTTGGAAAGTTTAGTTACCTGGTACCGGTTCAGGATCCCTTGTGCATGCTCCGAAAATGGTCGCAGGAATAGATTACCTGTGTTGATCCTATTCTCCACCCTAATCAAACAATATGCATGCAACTTGAGGCTTTCATAACGTAATGCTCTTCTTTCGTTATCGAAAACTCTCTATATCTTCCTCAATGCTACATGGTATCTCGCTGCTTTTCCCTGCACCTCCAGTCGCGACTCGATCACTGCCCAAACAGGCTTTCGTCTACCTTTTGCACGGCCTGCTTCTATCACCTATCCATCCAAGACATCATGCCACTGAACCATGCGTCTCCGGACGCCGGACGCGCCGTGACCGTTTGCGCGGGTGTCGTGGTAGTCTACGCTTTTTTTTTCTTCGCCAAACACACGCAACCGCTACTTTCTTGCTTCGCTGAACGTTCCTAGGTAGGAATAAGGTATTTACCCGGTAAGAAGGATGTTTTCTCCTATGAGGGGAAGAGGGACTCGGAGTCTCCTTCCACACGAAGCGGCCGATCGTGATTGTTCCGGTAGAAACCTTTCACATAAAGTCATCACTAGAACATAAACGTTAGCAACCACTCCACCAAAAAAAGGTATCTCTCTTCAACCTCAAGGGTCAACTTACTCTCCGAAACCATCATCCTCGTAGGTATCGTGAGCCTCGGCAATGGCACCGCCACGGCCAACACCAGCGAGCGAGGTCTTGGTCTTGGCAGCCTTGCTCTTCTTGCCGCCCTTCTCGGCAGCCTTCTCCTCCTTGAGCTTCTCGTTGCTGAGAGCCGTCAGGGAGCTGGCAATCTTCTTGATCTCGTCGCTCTTGAGGTCCTTGGCGAGCTGCTTGGCGAACTCCTGGAGGAAGAGGGTGTAGTGCGGCTTGGGCGAGAGCCTCTCGATCATGGGGCCGAGGGTGGTGCGGAGGGTCTCGAACTGGGTCTTGGTGGTGGGGTTGAACAAGGCCAGGGTCGAGATGTCGATGGTGTTGTTGGGGTCCTTGGGGTCAATCTGCACAATGGTGCCCTTGGTGACGACCTTGCGGTCGTTGCTGATGCCGATGCCGGCGAACAGGTCCTCGGCGTGCTTAAGGTCCGACTCCTTCTGCTCGCGGCGGAGGCGCTCGCGGCGCTCGGCCTCGGTCTCCTCCTCAAAGTCCGAATCCTCGGCCAGTTGGCGGGCGCGCTCGGCCTGGCGCTCGGCGATGCGCTGGGCCTTGGATTTCTTGTTAGCGGCGGCTTCGGCCTCAGCCTTGGCCTTGGCCTCGGCAGCCTTCTTCGCCTTCTCGCGCTCTACCTCAGAGTCCTCGGCGGCGTCCCAGGAGTCGAGAACGTCGCTCTCGTTACCCTCCTCATCGTCGAAGCGGCGGCGGCCGGGGGCGAGAACGGGGGAGCCGGGGGCGGAAGCCTCAGACTCTTCCTCGTCTGTGATGGTGAGGGGTTATGTTAGTCTGGGCTTCTAACAAGGCGGTGGTGGCGCAACAGCAAAGTCGACGCGCAAGAGTAGCTTGTTTGGTTGGTTTATATAGAGAGTGCCGGCATAACAGCCAAATTGCCTCAGGTATAAAAGGCTGAAGCATATGGCGATGTTGACGGCGACTATCACGAGGAGGACGAGCAGGCATCAGACAGCCTTGTCACAGCCATCGCGGCCGCACACGATCGACGGCTACTGCCCGCGGGGTTCTGGCGCAAAGAGGGAATAGCAACGAGGTTGAGGATAACTTACCCCACTTCTTTCCAGGCATGTTTGCGATTTGGTAGTGATAAATCTAGAAAACCGAAAGGATCTTTGCGACGACGATGTCTGGCGAGACGAGGAAAAGTTTGCGTGGTTCCAGGTTGTGTCCAACTGCAAAAGAGAAGCCGATCGATCGCTGTCTGAGAGTCGAAAAAGCGAGCAGGGGTCAGGCGGGTTGTGGTTCAGGCAGTGGGCAAAATAATGGTTAGTGGGGTTCGAGGACCAGAAACAGCGCTCTTTGTAGTCTAAAGCTTTAATATTTTGCCAAGACCTTCAGTATCAACTCCGGCTTGCACATTGAAGACTCGCATCGTCGATTATTTTGAAATGTATCGTTTTTTTCATATTTTGGCTCGGACTTCCCATACATGCACGAAATATGTAGGCTTCGGTCTAGCTGAAATTTGTTGGAGCCCTCTTTCATGTACCAGGTGCAGCCTCGAAGGACGGCGGTTTGTAGACGTTTGTTAACGCATGTGAAGAGAGGAATTCCTAAACAATTGCGTGTTTACTAAAGAAGGCTGGTTGTACACTATATTGATAATTGATGCCTTTCAACACGCGTCGTACTGTCAATATTCTGTACAACACATGTTCCCCGCTTCCGACGCGGGATAATATTTGGAGGCTTGCAATTGTTCCTGTCGCTCCTTCGAACTTCAACTCTTCCGACAGCCATCACTGACGTCACAAGATTGGAAGTTCGACATAAAGCTATTCACAGCTTATGTCCGAAGGATCTTTTGAAAGTTTGAAAGTCAGCAATCTATCAAACAAATTCCCAAACTTGCTGAGTGTCCTATGACACAGGTTTTTGGCGTTCCGTTTCCCTCCGTTCCCTAGCTATTACTGTCAGCAGAATCCAGTACATAATCCAAGAAAATGTCATTTCAACCAACCAACCAGCCATCACTATTCCAAGCCGTATGTGATTGTCTTTTTTTCTGAGTCACAGTCGCTCAGTCTCACTGCTCAGAGAAGACAACACAAGGCTGCTCCCGAAAATGTTGCGGAACTGCGCCCAATGGCTTGTTACCCGGGAGGTCCCGACACCACAAAACAATGACATCCAGCTGACCTTCGCAATCAGATGCCCAGTTGCCATTTTGAGAACTGAGACCTGAGATTGAGATCCGTATCCTAGTTGTTGATCTTGGTCTTTCCCGAGTTCCCTTTGCGCGCGGCCGCCTATTTGCTTGTTTTTGAGCACGAGGCAGTATTACCAATTGTCTCCATGTTGCAAGAGAGGGATCGCTTGGGGAGTGTCGGAAATCCCATTGCTCCTTTGAGACAATGGACGGACAAACTCGGTGACCTCAGTCAGCTCCTCGTGTTCCGAAAAAACCAAGTTCTCCTCGGAATGAGTTGCAACTGGCGGCAAGAAAGGGACGATATAAACGTCCTGTGTCCTTTGCTGTCTCACCCATAAACCATCATCACAAACCTCAAGCGAGTTTTACATCTCAACGTCACTTTTCATACCCTCGATGAACACTCCCAAAGTCAACATACTCTACTCTCCGGGACAAGCGGCGCACCTAAGCCGTGCCCTGATATCAACTTGCCACACCAGGCCTCTCCTGCTCGGTGGTCTTCAAGTGGTCACTTCTTTGCATCCAACACAGGCAAACCTCCCCCCATTACGACCTCGAACCTTCACGACAACAAGCGTTGCCCGACTGAAGGACTTCTTCCCAGCCAAAGAGACCGCGTACATCCGGCAGACACCGCCTGCGTGGCCTCATCATGGATGGACTGAGAAGGAGATGACATCGGTGGTTCCCGAGCACCGAAAACCCGAGACCGTGGGCGACTGGCTCGCATGGAAACTCGTGCGCATCTGTCGGTAAGCACATTCTTCCCCAACCCATTATGTGCAAAACTTGCCTTGCAGCCCGGGGAAGCAGGCACATAATCAGATCATAGTTCTAACGTCCAAGCAGATGGGGCACCGATATAGCGACCGGCATACGTCCAGAACAGCAAGTGGACAAAAAACCACCCGACGATCGCCACCAGTGCAGATAAACCTCTGACAGAAGCCCAATGGGTACGTCCGTCCGGTGCAGCTCGCCACTTGGTATCGTCTTTTCACATGCTGACATGTCTTCCCGACCCAACAGCTAGTCCGCTTCATCTTCCTCGAATCCATCGCCGGCGTCCCCGGCATGGTAGCCGGTATGCTCCGACACCTGCACTCTCTCCGACGCCTCAAGAGGGACAACGGCTGGATCGAGACCCTCCTCGAAGAGTCCTACAATGAGCGCATGCACCTGCTCACCTTCATGAAGATGTGCGAACCAGGTTTGCTCATGAAGACGCTCATCCTGGGAGCGCAGGGCGTCTTCTTCAACGCCATGTTCCTCAGCTACCTGATCTCGCCTAAAATCACCCACCGGTTCGTCGGCTACCTCGAGGAAGAAGCCGTGCACACCTACACGCGGTGTATCAACGAGATAGAGGAGGGCCATCTGCCCAAGTGGCGTGATGAACGCTTTCAGATCCCGGAGATGGCGGTTAGGTATTGGCGCATGCCGGAGGGGAAGAGGACGATGAAGGACCTAATTTATTATGTGAGGGCGGACGAGGCGGTGCATAGGGGTGTGAATCATACGCTGAGCAATCTGGATCAGAAGGAGGATCCGAATCCGTTTGTGAGCGAGTATAAGGATGGCGAGGGCGGGAGGAGACCGGTTAACCCAGCCTTGAAGGGGACGGGGTTTGAGAGGGCGGAGGTCATTGGTTGAGCTTGAGTGGAAGGAAGGTCTTTATGGCATGTGAGTGGTGTGGTTGTGATTTGGCCAAGGGTTTATAAGACTGGCGTTTTTGGATCGTCGGTGTTGGAAAGTGTTGGATATCCCACTCTCTTTGCTGTTAACGGCGTTTTGGTAGAAGGTACTGGGTTCGGTTTGTGTAGTTCAGCTCGGCATACATTGGACACTAAGCTCAGCATTGCAATTGCAGAGTCTGCATTAAACATTCGTTGATGTTGGAAGTATGAAACGTTCATGCCTGTCTGCGAGCATCATAGTAGACTTGCGCGACCCAAAGGACGTCGACCAGATTTCCACGTGTGCCTCAAGCATTAGGCCGTTGTCCAGGAATGTGCTTCAGATACTCATCTCGGAGTCTTTGGGTCTCCTAAGAAGCAGATTAGTAGCAACAAACCTGGTATGGCAGGCTCTTCTCTTTTCGGCCCAGGTTTGATCAAGGAGCATTTGCTCAGCCTCTATCCAGTGAATGAATCGTGAAGATGATTTACGGAACTTCCTATGGTCTGTTGACGTTATGGAATGATAGCTCAAAACTTACACTAGAGAAACTATTTTTACGCACATTTAGGCATCCTCAAAAGCAAGCGAAGAACATGAAACGACAGTATTTCGGAGAGCTACATCGGTGTCAGTTGGATCATATACTCGAGCCCGTGATATCAGCGTCTGGTGGTTCGAGGAAGCATTTGTTGTTGAATGAAATTGCAGGGCTGTGGCTGTGCACAAGCCACTGGAGTGCAATCTGTTAGCTGGGTGAACTTTCGGTAACAGATCTTGCCAGAGATCTCATCGAAACCTGATAGCGCCGAGATCCGGACTCACCACGGAACAGAACCGACAAGATGGATACGACTGCAAGGTACCAACAAGAACAGATGAACCGGAATAGGAACATTTCCAGAAACCACCGGTGGCTGAGGCCGAGCACCGCAGTGGACGGACGGCATATGCCCAGATGGACAGATGGATATTGTAAAGCGACCCGCAGCATATCTTGATGGCGTGTTTCAGAAGAGCCGTTGGAGTGAAGTGCCATGGCAACGGCAATCTCAAGTTCACGATGCCGGCCTGCTGCTTGTTCGTGGTACCGACCCGAACAAATACCATAGCACATCTCTTTTGCCCTGGATTATGATATCTGGTTGTCACAGTGCAGTGGCAAGCCTGCCTTGAAGATGAGACGGACCCGATTTCGACGTGTGAGTGGTCCGTTGACGAGCAGATATCTTCACCAAGTTAGAATCTAGAGGGGGTGTGTTGCAATCTCACTCATGACGCTGAGGTTCAACCCTTCACAGGCACGTTGACAATGACAGCGAGATCCAGGCATGCCAGGACAGGCCCCTCCACAGTGCTGTGACACCTTCCAAGCTCTCTGTGCCTGTGAGTGGACGGAATGCGAGCCGGCAGAATGAGTCCAGAAAGACAGGACAGATCATCCATGCCGAAAAATATCAAGATGACAATGTCCTGTGCTTTGAGGGTTCATGCCCAGAGACTCTCACATTCTTTGGGGCAGTCAGTGTTGCAAAGAGATAGAGTTGTAAAAAGCCCAATTTCGGGCATCAATGAATTGACTTTTAAGCTTGTACCTCTTTAGACTCCAACCAGAGCGGCAGCCCCACCGAACCTGGGGTGGGCCTTCTCAACAGCAGCCTTACGGAGCGAACCCGACCAGTCAGAGAACACACCTGCAGCGCAGCGTCCTTGAACCCCAATCACCCCAACTGCCCCTGCCCTGCCCTGCCCTGCCCTGACCGTACGACCCCGCGATTGTGGTTTCGTGCCTGAAGCGGAAGCCGAGAAGGAAACCGCAGCTTGCTTACAGCCTTCCATTCCCGATTTCCACTTCCCCTTCAATCTCGACTCTTCTCGGGTCCAGTCCAAGTCAAGGTTCCTCGTCGGGGCAAACGAGCCTAGCAGCCGAGAGGACGGACCAACAACGACATTCATGCAAACATCATAACATCCACCTCGTCCCCGAACATCTATTCACTCATCATTCGGCTGAACTGGGATCATACTCTATTCGTCCTTCAAACGCAACAAACTTGTGATCCCCTTTCGTCGTCGTCGGATCAAGGGTCCAGTCCACTCCAGTTAGCCATTTAGTCCCGTCCTCCATCCACGCAACCACTCAAACTTCCACCTTCACAATCACAGTCCTTCTTGACAGGGTCACCAGGCACACAGGCGCTTAACACGGCAGCGGTACCTTGCTTATTCTTTCGTCATATCATAGAGTCGTGCCTTGCCTGTCTCGAATCTTCAAGTCCCGAACCGCACCTCTACATAGTGTCGCTTTCGGCTTGAACCCTCCACAGTCGAGCACTTGATCCCAGAAATAAGCTCTGGGTTCCATTTGGTCCTGACCGTTCGACCTTGCACTGCATCTGAAGCTATTAGTCGGTTCGGTTTGCGGTGTCAGTCCCATCACTGACTGGTTGATCTGGTATTATCCTGGTGTCGCAAGCTTGTAAGCACAGCCCCAACGCACCCACGCACGTAGCGCACTGCCACTGTCCCGGAAGGCTGACTCGAGGGAAACTGCCTCGCAACTCGCAGCGCTTCTAAAGACAGAAACACCACAGTCTCTCAATCCCGCCCGCTTGCCGGCCACCACGCGATCCCCATGGACCAACAGTATACCAACGCCCGTGGCCGATCGCCCTCGGCCGCGTCTACCGGCGGAGTACAGGTCCATGATCAACAACAACAGCAGCAGTCTCATATAAGGAACCACTCGCCGTCTCCGGCTCCCTTTCCCAATTCGAACGATGGCGTCAACACCGGTTTGGGACTCGGCCTTATCGATCCCTCTGCCTCGCAGCCTTTCCAGCCTGAATTCTCCTACGGCGGCCCGAATCCGTTCCAGCAGAATTCGCCCTTCTCCCAGCCTGGTCTCGATTTCAACCAAGGTTATACAAACCCACTAGAAAGTCAGGACAACTCGTTCAGTGGCCTGTCGCAAGCTGCCTATTCCCCGAATCTCATGGCGTCGAACTTTGGCAACCAAGACTTCAGTCTTTTCCCCACGACTACTACCGGAGGCCAGTTCAACGGATCGCTCTACATAACCGACAACCAGTCACTCAACAATTCGGACCCAAACATGATGGCCCAAGGCTCTCACAGCCCGGAACCGCCTCATCTACTCAGTCCCGAGATGAACTCTCCCGCCTTCGCCCAGGGCCGTTTCCCCATGACGGCAGGAAGGCATTCGCGCAATGCGTCTTTGGGACCCGAGGCTGCTCTCCTTCCAGGCCAGGACTGGAGCCATATGCCTCAGTTCCAGGGCCACCGTCGCTCAGCCTCGGAGCTTAGTGATGTTTCCTCGGTAGCCCATTCGCCCAACCTTGGCGGATTGGATAGCTTCGACCCGATTGAGAACAGCCACTCCCCTCTCCAAGGGCCGCAGGCCGATGCCCTGTTCAATCAGTTGAACGGAATCAAAAACTTCAGTCTGGATGACCACATCGGCAGGAGTCCGTCACATAGTCCGGCGGTCTCCCCTCGTATCCCTCCCCAGCAATCACCAGACGAGAACGATCCGAACCACCCTAACCATTTTATGCTACACACACCCGCAAACAGTTTCGGCCCGCCAGCGACCTACATGCAGCCGCCGCAACAGGAGGCTTTCCCGCAACTGGCACTGGACGACCCATCTGGCATGCAGGCCCAACAGCCTATGCCAGCTCCTCCAGCGATCAACATCGATTTTGCTCCAGCGCCCGTCAAGAACGGGCTTGATCAGCCCAACAACCTTGACAATAATTCACTAGGCCTACCACGAGGTATATATATATATCCTAGAGATGATGCGATGAAACACGGGAGATTAGCTAATGATTCGGTGCTAGTTCGAGGGCGGATGCGACCACGAGCTGTCACGGACCCTTTCAACAATGGCAGTTATCGGTCTGCTTCTGCTTCGGGAGGCCTTTCGCCGCACTCCGCTGCGGACCTTAGACCGTCAAGCGCGCGCTCACTTTCACCCATGGACCGTTCCGGAGCCGGTTCTATCAACAGCCGAAGACGCCAGTCTACGTCGTCTGTACCCAACAACGTGATAGCACTTCGTCTTGCCGACCCCAACTATAATGGTTCTGGGGAGAATGGGGGTGGCCCGAGAAGGGCTCAGAAGCACCCCGCTACTTTCCAATGCAAAGTATGCCCTAAGCGCTTCACCAGGGCATACAACCTGCGCTCTCACTTGCGTACACACACCGATGAAAGGCCCTTCAAGTGTACAGTCTGCGATAAGGCTTTCGCGCGCCAGCACGATCGCAAGCGTCACGAAGGCTTACACTCGGGCGAGAAGAAGTTCATATGCAAGGGTGAATTACCTTTGGTCGGCCAACAATGGGGCTGCGGCCGTCGATTTGCTCGAGCGGACGCTCTTGGTCGCCATTTCCGGTCGGAAGCAGGGAGAATATGTATCAGACCTCTGCTCGAAGCCGAGAACCGCGAACGCCAACGCCAGTGTGCTGAGGCAATGCAGAACGCAGCCCAAGGCCAGATGCAATACCAGGGCGGTATGATGATGCCGCCTGGTATGGACCCCAATGGCGAGTACCAGATGGACCAGTTTGTGCTCCCACAGGCACTGTTGGCACAGTATCCTGCCCTGGCCCTCTTGCCCGCTGGACCTGCTTCTATAGGCGATGGGGCGGGCTTGGATGAAGACTTGGGAAGCAATTATGAAGCTAGCGACTACGATGATGTCGACGAGGGAGGCTATGTTAGTGGTCCGGGGACAGGGTTCGGGCCCGGAAGCATGCAAGAAGGGTATGGGGAGTTAGGTTATGCTAGTGATTTTGGTGGCCGTTAGAACGTGGTAACATGTTACAGGGTGTGAATAACAGAGGGCGTTGGTTGGCACATTCTTCTGGATGAAATTCAGTTCCTGTTTGAATGAGATCTTTATACGGTGCTGTGCGGTTTTGGCTTTTATTGTCTTATATGCACATTTGTCTTTTTGGATATTATTATTCCCAGCCTCTTTACAATTCCTATTTTACTGTATTAGGTTTATGCTTGGCAACGAGGCTTAGTTGGTAGAGGTTACACGCGCGATTGATCAGCGAACATGGGAGTAACTGTCTGGTGCGGCAAAACCGATGCCACATCCATGAAAACCTACTCGTTGTTGTTCGTATAGAGTTTGTGAATAAACGAGCTACAATACCCATACATACCTTCATCGCATATGTAAATCTCAATAAGCTTTTACCCATGTCCGTCATTAGTTAAATTCGTCATTCGTGCTGATCAATGGAAGCTGAAGACAAGGAAAGTGATAACCCAGCTCTAATCGTCGAGTTTCTTCCCTGGATGTAGTCTGATTCTGATACCTCGCCCTATGTTCATGGTTACGCCGCCATAAATGTCGTCACTGACATTAAAATCCCTCCCCATATCCTTCCCATTCCCATCACCATAACCACCACTGTTCCTCTCACCCTCTCACCCTCTCACCCTCTCACCACCCTCTCACCCATCAACCCATCAACCCACCTACACACCTCATCTACGCTAACCCTGCTGCTGTATTTCCTGCAACAAAGTCCTCCCCCTCCCCTGTCCCCGTCCCTCTCCCCAAGCCGTCCCAGTCCCCTTACTTGACCTCAACTCCTCCATCCAGCCCGCCACCACTCGGTCCACCACCCTTTGCAAAACTTCCTGGTGGCCCTTTTCGAACTTGGCTTTGACAAAGGGCCGCACAATGGCCGGACACTCGATTGTGGCGATCTCCACTAGTTCATACTCGTAGTTTTCGATAGAGGTGCCGGTTACTTTGTTGATTAACAACTTTTTTCCTCCTTGCCCTCCGGTGGGACTGGAGTTGGGGCGGGAGTTGGATTTATGGTTGGCAATGTCGTCACTTCCTCCCTTCCTAAGTCCAGCCCTAAGTCCCTGTCCCAATCCTTCATTACTTTCCCGTCCTTGTCTTTCCTGGCCATTGTTCTGTGGTGTCTGTGCTTGTGCTTGTGCTTGTGATTGTACTTGTGCTGGTAATTGCGGAGCAGGCTTAGGCCGATACCGATGCCGAACCTCATAACTACTCCTCACCACCACGCCCGCCGCCGCCACCGCTTTACAGCGGACTCCGTACCCGAAACTCTGGAAGGTGCAGGGTACTGAGACTTCTTTGCTTCCCAGCAGGGAACCGCCGCCTAGCCAGTCGGGGAGTGGTAAGAGGGGGACGGAGTCGGTGATGAGGTAGGATTGAGGGTTGAACCCGTCCGGGCCTGGAGGTTGGAAGAATTGGGGGTCATCGGTGAGGGATGGAGGGGTAGGGAGTAGGTGGGTAGAGTCAGAGAAAGCGGGCGAGGGTACAGATGAGGAGGGGAGCGGAAGGGACTGATATGTTTTGAGGTAGGGGTTGGCGGTTATGAGGGGCACGTAGGCGTGCAGGGCCGAGAGGAGGGCTGAGGGCGGGGTGGTGGAGGGAGGGGGATGCGGGTTATTATTTTGAGGGGGTGGGACTGGGACATGTTGTTGTTTGCGAGGGTGGTTGATGGTGGTGTTAAGGTTTGTTTTGGTGATCGTTTTGGTTGATGGTTGATAGTTGTTGTGGTGATGAGGGAGTGCCAAGTCCGTTGTACGGTACGGGACACAGAGGCCGATGCGGAGACCAGCCGGAACGGAGGTCAACGGGCCGGACGTCGATGGCGGCCGATGGGTTGATGAAAGCTTTCCCTTTACGTCAATTTGATGATCATGTCCCAAAGGCAGAGAGAGGCTGATATCAGGCTGTTGAGCTGTCTTGGCCGGACAGCTGGGGGATGATTTCGGGTCATGGACAGGTAGGTAGAAGTGTCCAAGTGAGTGAAGCCTGATCAACGATGCCGACAAAGCGTGTATCACGAACTGATGGCCACAAATCTGCGACCGTCTCTTAATCTTTCTTGGCAGCCAGTCCGAAGCAGAAGCACAACTCACCAATAACCTAGGCAGCCATCGCGACCCAATTTTAGCGGCTGAAGTGGACGACGTTTTACTTTGACGTACGGATCATTTGAGATGTAGGGTAGGAGGAGCGGGACAACGAGTATGTAGTAGTATACAGCCCCTATATTGTCCAACAGGTGGTAGCTGGATAGCCTCAAATCGTGTCTTGATTTGCTATTTTCGTACGGAGTTGGAGTCAGCTGTTGTCGCTGCGCCATCATCGCATCATTGGTGATTTGATGCTGTGTGGTTCACGCTGATGCAGAGTTGTCAAGTAGGGGTGTGGAGCATCTAACAATTAGATATAGTTGAATGCTTGATAATGTGTTAGTGCTCTATCTTAAACTTGGGTGGGCTATAACTCTAATTAGGACCTGGAGTCGGCCGGCAAGACGTCCGATGTCTTGGTTTGTTGTTGGACCCAGAGGGTGAACGATGTTCGGGGTCCAAGCTCTGGGTAGCATACGGGCCGTGCCGAGGTTCCTGAGTGTTCATGACGGCATCCATACTTCATGGTGTTTGTTGGTTGACAACGAGAAGAAACATGTTTGGTTGGAGGATTGACCGTTCCTGCCGTCCACGAAAAGCGAACAGCGAGGTCGGACCGCAACATGAAATCTGTTTGCGAAACGGCAAGAGCAACTGAAGTTGTCCACTTGCTTTTGGGGAACGAGCTTCACAACGATAAAGCCTTATTTGGTTTGCCCTCTTGCCGCCCGTAGTCTTCCACTTTGCCGCTTGGAATCTTCTTTGTCTCATCAACCCTATGACAACCTTCTTAGACATCTCAAGTCCTTTACGCTGCGCACAAGCAACACCATCACCTCTCCGACACCCACGTTTCATGGCCTTTAATCCAGAATTGCAACTTCACAATGTCCCAGACACAAGTCTTTGCCTCATCGGGTTGGTGGACCAACTGCAGGCCAAAAGAAGCGTCCATCTGACGCTCGAATCCTGAACAAGGACGGAAAAGTTTTGGCGGTGAGCCCAATGATCCAATCCCGTTGAACTCACTGAAGCTTCAGGCCTTCTTTATGCAGTGGACCGCTGTCGACAACAAGGCCGAGACAGGAGCAAGGGACATGGAAGTATCTTCCCCGCATGCCATGAACCCCAAAGTCCCTCGATCCCTCCTCGCTATCCACCACTCATGACGCAGACTTGTTGACAGCTTCAGGTTCCCGTTGAAACATGCCGTCGAAATTGCGCCGAAGAGGGTTTGTCGGAAACATGCCAGCTCATCCGAGCAAACAGAGAGACGAAGGACTCTTGAGAAAAGAGACCACAGAATGATATTCGCAATTCGGCTCGTCCTCATCGTTCCTCCGCTCCAGGGCCACAGCTAGGGCCGTTATCAAAATGGAGCCCGCCGCAAGATGTCGCGCAGCGTCTTGATGCAGCCCAATAGCCGTCAGGTCTGGCGTGACTGGTTCAACAGACCCTCTCTTGTCCCTCGCAAACACCACTCGCTGTTGCTGCTCGGCCATGTGCAGTAGTTGGGTATGGGTAGGCGCTGTCACTGCCGCATGGCTCGCATGATGCGTGCTGCAAACTGCAAGCTGCGCAGGTCAATTTCGACATACTCCAATTGAATCTCTGTCGTGGAAGAAAAGCACAAGAGTCGTCAATTCAAACTCTTATTCCACGGCGAAAAGCGAGGCTTCTTATATCGTCTCTTCTGGGATCATGACGCCATCTCTAGCACACATGGCTGGTGTCAAAATGACGGGCAGGTCTGGGGTGTTCCCAAAGGTAGACCCACCAGCACTAACAATGGCCCTAAAAGTTAGCGGCTCCAGCCATCAACAGATGGAAGATGTTGGGGAGCCGCCCACGGCGCGATAGGCGCTCAGCGATGGAGGGAGGATGAGGGGGGTCGTTGAGTCAATGCCTTCTTTCCACCTCCTCAAAGCTAATTTCTCACTTAGACCAAAGCCCATTGGCTATCCGACTTGACTCGTCAATGCTCACCATGACAATGGTGTGCAACAGCAGGTCAGCAGGTAGCAAGAGGCTGCCGCGACGGCCTCGGCTGCATCAAGTAGCGTCCAACAACCGGGCGAGATGCAGGTAGGGTCCGATTCAGTGGGCGACTGGTCTGCCTGGCAGTTTGTCGATGCGGAACATTTTGACGGCCTGGGTGGGGAAACCACAAGCCTATCTTTTCTTCGCCAACTTCAAAGGTAGAATGACATATCAAATCTTTGAGGGAAAGCTCGGCAAGAAATTGAGGAAATGGGCAAGTTGAAACGGTGGGCTGCCATCAGCCTGGATCAACTGGATCATCCCGCCCTTCGACTTGACTGGAACCAGAAGCACCCCTCCAGATACAACAGCCAATAATGCTTCTCCCCAGCCATCCAACAAACAGCCGGATACAGCATTTTCACCTGGTGAAACAGGAAAGCATTGATGCCATGATGGTGTCAACAGGGGTAAACCACTCCTCCAGACTGACAGTGCTAGACAGAGCCTCTGCTGGCCCACCTTGCTGCCAACTTCGGTGACTCGGCCGCGCTTGTCAACCTGCCTTCTCACTAAAGCTGAGCCGGGGAAAGGTGTCAATTGGAGCTGGCATGGATCCGTTTGTGTATCCCCGCAGACTGTAGCTTCGAGGCCGAAAAGAGTTGTCTTCTCTTGCCACTTCAACGGTGTGTTCAGAAGCCGGAGAGCGACACAGAAAGGAATCAAGGCTGATGCCAACGGTACTATCATCAACAACACTACATTCGTATATCGTCGCGTCCTTCACCGCGACTGTGCTACCTCTGCGCCTTACAGGAGCATATGGTACCTCAGTGTACTTGATCTCCCGCATGTCTACTTGACGGTCTTGTCTTGCCGACTGTCGGCCTCTGTTTGGCGATCGCCCCTCAACCATCAAGCTGTTCAGCACGGTTTCTTTGCCTCCCTTGACTTCCAGCTGCGCCAGTGTAGGAGGCAATCCGAGAATAAGATTAACTGCGGTGTGGTCGCACAGCACAACCTGAAAGACGCATCTTTCCTTGTCCAACCCGTCTTCTATCCACGATCCGAGCGGACCATTGGCTCATCTTGCAACGCCAATTACAGCCAGGCGACGAATCTCATTCCAGTAAGGAAAAGAAAAAAGTTTGCAAGTCAAAGGTGAAGTTCTGGGTACAGAGGCTGAACGAGAGAACCGGAATCCCAAGAAACTGATATCCATCCATCAGAGTACTATACCAGGTTCTGCTTGACTGGTTGTTTGTTGCTTCGAACTACTTGGAAAACGAACAGACGGCAATTTTTCTCTCCGGAGAGTAGCCTCTTTACGTGCCTTCTTCGAACCGAACCTCACGACTCTCACCGTAACTATCCACGATTTCTACTCGACATTGTCCTCCGCGCACCGATCGAAACGCCTCATGAATCACTAGTTTTCTCGACGATATAGATCAGCGGGCCCAACTGCCGATATGGCCACCGCTCAAGTTTCGGCATTCCGCAAGAGCTGGGCAATATGCAACACATATGAGTCGGGTACGGGGGCTTGTACGGCGAGGCCAACATGGCGCCATCGGTGGAATAAAGAATTGGAAGAGACTGTGAGGTGTGACGTGATAAAGTCGAGGTTGAAGATAGTTGCACAACGCTGGGTAGAGTTGCGTGGTCCAAGAACAGTGAGTTTATATGCCTTCAACTTTCGTCCCAACCTTGGTTGTTCTCGTCTTTTACCTTTGTGGAACTTCCCCAGGGGATCGCCTCTAAAACACTGGCGTGCTTTAAGGTGGCAAGCGGAGAATAGAGGCCTAGGGTGCTCCAAAACTCCACTGGGCACCTCCGCCCGCACGTTGCGTAGTGCTGCGCCGTCCACACCTTGCGGGGATGCTTGACCCATGTCGGCCCGCTCGATCTGGAAAGTCACCAGATCGTCTGGTCATTAGCTCGTCCGAACTCTAGTTTATATATGCTAACCGGGCGCGTCACAGCGAGCTGTAACGTCTCCCTCACGTTCCTATCCAGTCACAACGTTCGACGGAATGTCAAGACGGTCCCGCCACCCATCAGCATTGTATGCCCCACAGGAAGAGGACTCGAAATGGTCTTCTTATACTCCCCGCGACCCGACTACCACTGCTCAGCGGGCGCAAACGTCACAGCCCTCCCGGAGCAGCCTCCCCAGACCTGCCTCTAGCAGTATTCCCCGACCGGCTGCGACAATATCTCGACCCGATCCGAAGCGGCGTGATAAAGACGATGGTTCATATCCCGACTCGAGCCCGTGGCCTTGGCTTGACCCCGATGAGGATGACAACTTTCGACAGGTTGGAAAGAAGAGTAAACAGAAAAAGAAGGTCGGAGGAGGAGGTGGTGGTGGCGGTGCACAGCAGCCTAAGCAGACAAATAACGATGGTGGCGAAGGTTCGCAAAAGGAAGGCGCCGATGGTGGCGACGACGGCAAATCCAACGGCGGCGATGCCAGCAACGGTGCTGGAGGAGGTCCAGGCAAGTCCGGCAATGACGGAGACAAAGGCGACGGAGACAAAAAGGACGACAAGTCCAAGAAAGAAACCGCCGACGATGAGGACAAGAAGAAGGACGACGAAGAGAAGAAGACAGAAAATGCAAATAAATCGCCGCTCGACGATGACTGGAATCAAGCAACCAGCAAGATAAGGCAAAAAGCAAAGCGAGGCGATGTTATTGGTTCTGTCACCGAAGATAAGCCTACCCCGCGGTCATTGGATGACAAGGCGAAGAAGAGTCATGGCAACTCGGACAAATCCAATGGCCTCGATGAGGTCAAACTCGACATTGCAACCTCAATAAACGCCAATCGCGTCTCTACAGACAACGCGTCCATCGACAACCGGTCTTCAGGAAACAGCAGGACTGAAGAGAACAAATCTTCCGGAGAGCGGACATCTTCAGATAGCAAACCTGCTGGATTTCCCTGGAGCGCACTTTGGGGCGGCGGTCTCAAATGGGGAGCAAGCGCCCACAAGGAACAGCCAAAGCCGCAGGTGAAGCATGAAGACGAGCTCGAAAGCAACCCGTGGACAAAGTCCAAGAACACCAAAACCTTCCCAGGCTCTTTTGATGACGCTGAAGAGACAAGAAACGAACCTGCTGTAGCTGAGCCAAAGTCGGAGAAAAAATCGGATGAAAGAGGTCAAGGCCGGGATGAGAAAGCGCTTCGTCAGAAAGACTCTAAGGACGACAAGGACAAGCTCAACGGTATGAACGGGAAATACTCAGCAAACGAGAAGAAAAAAGACAACGACGATGAGAAGTACCGAGTCGACAGCATGTATGCCAAGGGGGTAAAGAAGGATGAGCGCAATGATGATCACGATGACGGCTTCGTTGTTTCCACGAAGAAGACCAAAAACTCAAAGAACAACACTAGCGCATGGGATGTGGAACCAGATGCAGGTCAAGAGCCAGTGGTGGAACCGAAAACAGAGCCAACGCCGGAGCTAACAAAAACCAATGAGCTCGAGCCCGAGGATGACTTCTTTGAAAGCTTTCCTGCTGTGAAGGCCAAGAAGAATGAGAAAACCTCGACCCGGCCGGGACAATCCTCAAGGCTCGGACCATTCGGCACATCCACGCTCAAGAAAGCGAATCCAGATCCCTGGGAAGTCTTCGGTGCCAAGAAGAACAAGGCGAAGGTCGGCGCCTCCGAAGAGCCTATGGTTAGGACACGGAAGGCCGATCCGGAACTGTTACCGGCAAAACGATCATCTCCCATTCCCGCACCCGAACCTGAGATTGAGCCAGAAGAGGATGAAAAGCTGGAGCCAATTTCGGCCTACAGGCCGCCAACGAAAAAGCCTTGGTGGGAAGAGCCTCCAGCTCCACCGAGCCCCGTGAAAAACAAAAAGAAGAAAGGTAAGTACGATATTGCTGACGAGCCTTCCAGGGAGCCAGATCCGGAACCGGAGCCTATAGAAGAGTCCAAATTTGAAGCCGACAAGCCAGTGGAGGAAGACGATTTCTGGAACAACCACCAACCAACGGCCAGGAAGGACAGGAAGAAGAGCAAGAGAGCTGGACTTTCAGAAGAACCGGTACCGCCGCCACCACCGCCGCCGCCTCCTCATCCGGTAGAACCAGCCGAGACTTTTCCGTGGGATGATGTTCCAATCAAGAAGACCAAAAAGGGAAGAAGGGGACAGACAGAGCCTGAACCACCACCGCCACCTCCAGTCGAATTTGAACCGGTAGTTGAACCGGAACCGGAGCCCGAGCCAGTTTCTGGTCCGCCCCCATTCCCCGAATCAGATGAGGAGGATGAGGACCCCGGCGGCTGGCTTTCCTCTTTTCTTCACAAGCCGGATAAGAAGAAGAGTAGGCAAACATCTCCCATGCCTCCACCTCCTGAAGAGCCAGAACCGGAGCCTGAGCCGGCCCAACGAGAACTAGAACCAGAGCCGGAACCGGAGAAGGAAGAAGACGACCCTTGGGACTATCCCATCTCGAAGAAGGACAAGAGAAAGAAGAAGGGAAAGACCAAGGAGCCCGAACCATCACCGCCACCACCACCACCACCACCACCACCACCGCCGCCGCCTCCTGAGCCTCCAAAGAGATCGAAATCATCAAAGTATGACAAGGAGGATGAACACGACTTCTGGAGTGCTTCAACATCGAAGAAGAGCAAGAGGGACAAGAAGGGGTATACCGAACGAGGGCCATCTCCTGAGCCAGTGGAGGAGGTCATCTCCGAGCTAGAGGACCCAGAGCCAGAGTTTGATGTTGAACCTGAGCCGGAAGCACGACCTGAACCTGCTGCTGTGTCGGATCGCGAAGACAAACTATCAGAGGATGGATGGGACTACTCCAAGAGAGACAAGGACAAGAAGAAGAAGAAAGGTACTGAACCAGAAGTCAAGTCAAAAAAGGAGTCCAGATCAAGTCGAAGACCTGAGCCAGAACCCGAGCCCGAATCAAAGCGAAAGAAGGCGAGAGACAGCATTTGGAGCTTGCCCACTGACCCAAAGAAGGATAAAAAGAAGAGAAGAGGCGATTTAGATGAAGACAGCAAGCCGCTGCCTTCACCTGCGCCAGACCCGCCTGATGTCTGGGATGACGACTATCAGGACAAGAAGAAGAAAAGCGCCATCTCGGATGAATGGGCAAATTACTCGAGCAAGGATAGGAAGAAGGGCAAAAACGCCATGGATGTCCTGAAGGGGCTAAACAAATCGGGCGATCCACTAGCTGACTCAGCTCGGCAATCACCGCCAAGCCCTCCTCACCGTACCGGTGGCTTCTTCGGATCTTGGGAAACCGACAGTGATCGTGGCGACAACCATAAACACAGAAAGCAGTCCAAGGACAGTTCACATCAGCCATACAGCATCGAGGAGCCTACTTTAGACGACGTTTGGGGCGCTACCATGCCTGGCAAGCGCAAGAAGAAGGCTAATGGCGGCACCAACAACGCACCGGTGGAGATTGTGGAGGACCTTACCCCGGATCCCGTCCAGCCGGACTCTGTGGAGGAAACCAGGGACGACAGCCACAACAACGAAGACAGCAAACCGGAAAGCAATAGCTATGGCAGCAGTTTTTGGGGATGGGGAGGCTTCGCCAAGAGCAGCAGCAAATCATCCAACAAGGAGTCATCGCTTCATGACGAGCCAGCACCACCTCCGCCGCCACCGCCAGCGCCAACTCCTCCATTAGACGAACCAGAGCTCGACATCTGGGCCGATGACGATGACGAACCCCAGCCTGTTGCAAAATCTGACAAGGATGACAAGAAAAAGTCCAAGGACAAGAAGTCTAAGGAGAAGGAGCCCAAACTTAGCGAGAAGGAGCTGAAGAAGCTAGAGAAGGAAAAGAAGAAGGCCGAGAAAGAAGAAGCAAGGCGCAGACTCAAGGAAGCCAAGGAGTTGGAGGAAGAACTGAAGCGCAATGCTAGGGAAGCAAAAGAGTTGGACGAAGCCTTGAGGCGGAAGGCTGAAAGGGAGAGGGAGTTGGAGGAGCAAGCTGAGCGTGAGGCTGAAGAGCAAGCAGCCCGTGAGGAAGAGGAGCGAAGATTGCAAGAGGAAGAAGAACAGAGGCAACGAGAAGAAGAAGAGCGTCGACTTCAAGAGGAGGAGGAATGTCAGCAACGGGAGGCTGAAGAGCAAGCTCGGATCGCTCAAGAAGAGGCTCGCATTGCTGTCGAGGAGCAAGCTCGCAAGGAGGAGGAAAAGAAGGCCGCAAAAGAGAAGGAAAAGCTCGATGAGGAAGCAGCAGAGCTTGAAACACTCAGACTCAAGAAGGAGAAGACGCCTCGGAGATTCATGATGAGAGAGCAGCGCCGGCTTGACGTTCTCGCTGCTAAATTCGAGGAGATAGCGCGCAAAAAGCAAGAGGAGGAAGAGGAGCGACAGCGTGCAGAAGAAGAAGCTGCCCGTATCGCCGAAGACGAGGCTCGCATTGCTGCTGAGGAACAAGCCCGGAAGGACGAAGAAGAGAGGATTGCCAGAGAAATTGCCGAACTTGAAGAGGAGGAGGCTGAGTTTCAGGCACTCCGGTTCAAGAAGGCAAACTCACCGAGAAGGTTCACAACAAAGGACCAGCAGAGGCTTCAGCAGATCATCAAGCAACGCAGAGAGAGGAAGCGCCTGAAGCAAGAGGAAGAGGATCGCAAGCAGAGAGAAGAGGAAGAGGAGAGACAACGGCAGGCTGATGAAGAAGCCCGGCTTGCTGCCGAAGAACAGGCGCGGATAGACGAGGAGGCCAGGCTTGCCGAAGAAGCGAGAATTGCAGAAGAGGAAGCGAGGAGAGCGGAGGAGGAAGCGAGGATTGCGAAGGAAGAAGCACAACTGACGAAGGATGAGGCTGAACTTGCAATTCTCACCGAGAAAAAAGCAAAAACACCTCGCCGGTTTACACTCATGGACGGACGGAAGCTCGATCTACTTACCAAGGGTGTTAACAAGCTACGGGAGAAGAAGGCTGCTCGGGATGCTGCAAAGAAGGCTGCGGAGGAGGCTGCAGAAGAGGCTTCGCGAGAGGCTGCAGACCAGCCCGGAGACGAATGGCAAGACGCGGATGAAGGTCAAGGTCAAGACAACGACGAGGACCCCGAGGCAACTGCTCTGAGGGAAGCAACAGAGAGGGCAATCCGCCAAGCCGAGGAGGAGGCCGAAGCCAAACAGGCAAGGAAAGCGAGCAGAAGCAAGGGCAAATCGAAGGCTGATCCACTCGACGACATGCAGCTCACTCCCGAGCAGGTGGACGAACTGCTCGGAGACTCGTCGAAACGGGACAAGAGTGTTGACAGCCAACCTAAGGAGGAGGAGAAGCCTGATAACAACCACAGCAATGCCGCGCCTGGCGGGTTCAGTCTCTGGGGAGCTGCCAAAAGAGGCATATTTGGTTTTGGAGGAGGTAGCGGATGGGAAGACCACGATCAGCCTGCTCCGGAACCTGAGCCCTCAGCCCAAGATGAAGATGATAAGGCAGCTGAGTCAGCCAGAATGGCAGAGGCAGCCATGGCGGCTGGTGGTGTGATTGGAGGCGTTCCTCCTGGGCTATGGGATGCAACCCCCAAGGCCGTCTCACCGTCGCCTGAACCAACTGCTGAGGAGCCAGTGACCTACCCCGCCAAGCCCACCAAGTCCAAGAAGGCTGCGGGGAGCAAGAGCAAGAGCAAGATTGCCGACCGCCTGCGCGTCTTCGAGTCACTTGACGCCGGAGCCGACACACCTGCTGATGCTGATGGTGGCCCACCACCACCACCAGCCGCACCGTCGACACCACCACCACACTTTGGTCGTCCCCTTCCCCCGCCCGCGCCATATATGGTGCGCTCGCCACCATCACCTGCCATCTCACCCGTTGTCGCAGTTGCCGTCTCTCCGCCAGCGCAAAGGGAGGAAAGGCGAAAACCATCAAGGAAGAGCCGGGACAAGGACAGGGGCTATACACGCGACGGCGACAATAACGACTATTACTTATCGGTCCCTCCACCACCGTCGCCGCCTGTTGCGCCGTCGGGCGCACCACCTGGGGGCTTCCCCGGCGGATTTCCAATCGACGACGATTACCGACCCAGTCGCGACATGCATGGTGATCACCATGATAATCACATCGACGACCACGAAAACCATCGAGAACGTGAGCTTATCGATTCTGCAGCCGAACGAGCAGCCGAACGAAGAGCGAAGAGACGATCCAAACGGATTTCACCTGAAGCCCCAGGTGTCGAGTTTGACTTGCCGCCTGCGCCGCCCTCACCCCCACCTATCGCGCCCGATGCGCCAATTGACGACGAAATGGCAGAGTCAAAGTCGCCTCGAAAGGAAAGGCCCAAGATAAACCGCCAAGGTACAGCATGGGGTATGGATGGGAAGAAGATCTCATCGAGGCCCAAGGTCGTTGAACGAGAGCCTGGCGCAAAGCCGAAAAAGACTGCACACATCGAGGAGCCCGAGAAGCCACTACGGTCCAGAGACAAGGAAGCGCCAGCGGCGACGGCGCCAGCTCCGATGCAAGCGCGCTTCGCTAGCGTGTTCACCAGTACCCCACCATTGTCGCGATCAATGTCCCAGCGCGAGAAACGCCTCGGTCCCAACGGCAAGCCCATCGCACGCAGATATTCGGATAGCACGAATGCGGTCGCCAACCCTCCTGCTCCTCCTCCTGTTCCGCCAGAGGATATCTCATCAAAGGCGGCCAAGGTCTTGGGTGTCGGTGCCCGCGGTCTCGGAGTTGGCCTCGGCCTTGCGAATGGAATCCTCTCCAATGGATTTGGCCGAGGAGCTCCTGCTGCGCCTGCGCGCAACAAGCAGGGTAAGTTCTTGTGTTGCCGTTTGTTGTGAGACAAAGATGTTGGCTAACTCGTTTGTGCGACGATGCAGACGTGAACGATGACACGCCCGTGTCAGGTGCTATCGATCCTGATTTCAGCCCGACCAAGTCGGAACGTCGTAGGGCAAAGGTATGTGATAGCCTACTGTTTGTTCCGTCGCAACCAAATAAGTCGGACGCTAACAACAAGTCGCAACAGCAATACATGTCCGAAGACGACCACGTCATGTTCGAGATGCCCGATGCTACAGCCCCCGCTCGTCCCCCGGTTCGCCGCGTTAGCACCAGCAACGCCGCCAACAAGAAGTCGGGCTTTAGTCTCTTTGGTGTCTTTGGATCGAAGCAACAACAGCAAGAATCGCCGCCGCGCCCCGAACCTCCCCGTCGAAGCCGAACAGTTCCTACATATGCCACTACCGATGACGAAGGTGGCCGACAGCCCGCAGCTGCATTCGTCCCCGAGACCGACGCCGATCGCGAAGCCCGCAGAGCCGCCCGTCGCGCACGCCGCGCAGAGAAAGAGGCAGCCGAGAGAGGCGCCGCCGTACAATCTGCCGAAGAGGCTCGTCGCCAAAAGGATGAAGCCCGTCGCGAACGTCGCAGACAGCAGGAGCAAGAGGAAGAGGCTCGGAGGCTAGAAGAGAAGGAAGCCCGTCGTGCTGAAAGGCGGGCCCGTAAGGCTAAAGAGGAAGAGGACCGTCGTGCTAGAGAAGAGGAGGAACGCCGAGCTGAAGATCAAAGAGAGGCTGAGCGCGTCGAGCGGAGGAGGATACGAACCGAACGAGCTGCTGCCGAGGCCGAAGCCGGACAACGTGACGTCAATGGTGCTAGACAAGATGACCGACGCCGGAGCAATCGGCGCATGCCTCCCGAGTCCGATCGTGAACACGACCGCGGCCCCGAAGAAGACGAGGAGCGGCGAAGGAGGAGAGAGGCCCGTCGTGCCGCCAAAGCCGCCCAGCTTGCTGCTGAAGCTGCCGCTGATGAGATGGACAGGGCCAGAAGGGAGCGAAGACCCAGGGAGAAGAGTACCACCCGACCCGACCCGAGAGATGCACCGCCGCCGGACGAATACGTCTATCCAGCCTCAAGGCAGCAATCCAAGGCTCGAAAGCAGGGACAAGGACAACATGATGGATGGCCACACTCGGGAACCACGTCGTGGGTTAAGGACCATGCCGATGCTCCTGCTCCTCCATCGCCTCCCGGACCTCCGGGTGCCTTTGTCGACGACCATACCAATGGACATGCCAAAGGTGGCCCACCACCACCGCCACCTCCCCGTATGATGCCTCACGAGCTAGACGAAGAAGAGGCTGCTCGACACGCAAGGCGAGAGAGGAGAGCTCGCAGAGAGCAAAAGTACCACGCTGCTCAAGCGGCCGCTGAAGAAGCCGAGCGCGAGCGAGAGCGGGATAGAGAGAGGGAAGGTGCGTATGCTAGTGCGCACGATGACGAGAGGAGACGAAGAAGGAGGAGGAGAGGTGATGAAGAACGACCTGAGCGTGCCGAGCGCGAGCGAGAGCGTGACCATCCTCGCGAGCGAGACCACAGAGATCGCGACCCTAGAGAGCGTCCCGAGCGTAGTCAACGCGACCGAGACCAACGCGAGTACTACAGCGCCCGCGACGACCGAGAACAGCTTCCCGACCTCGGGATCGCAAGCGCGGTGGGGAACGGGCGGCGGCGACCGATTACGATGATCGTGAGCCCCGTGATCCTCGCGAATACCACGACTCGCGTGCGGAGAGGGGAGATAGAGGAGACCGCGGCCCCGGGGACCGGACTGGATCCGGCTCCGGTAGTGATGGGAGGGAGCAGAACAGGAAGAGCGGCGGTGCTGGGTTTGGGGACCAAACCACGCCGAGGAGTAGCTGGTGGAAGAAGATTGCTAGGTTTGGCTAGTTGATCTTGCTTTCGTCTCCTTTTTTTCTTTCTCTCTCTCTTCAATTTGCTTGTTGCTTGTTGTAACGGATTTTGGTTTGGCTGGAGTTCCATGTTTGGAGTTATTGCTGTACGACTGACTTGATGGCTTGATGACTTGGGGGCAACACCACCACGATATATGGATGGGATATGATTGTGGGATTTAGGTCTAGGGGGGGCGTGGAGTTTAACGGATTTTTGTCTATTATGTGGTCGGTTTGGAAGGAAAGGAAGGACCTGGTGTCTGTCCGTCCCCACCCCCGTCCGTTCGCTTGTTACATTTATTGTCCTTGAGAGTGTCATGATATATACGATACAGATGAAGAAGAGAAGAGGTAATGATGATGCTGTTCAACAACGCACGTACAACTTACTACTACGGATACAAGGTGGATGTTGAAGATGGATGTTGAAGATGGAGCTACTAATATACGACAACTGTTTACACTGTATGTATGAGGCTGTCACCATATACTAAGTTTTTACCTCGTTTTACTATCTGTAATGCGATAGTTGCTGCGCCGGTGGGTTGGTACTGGGTGGTTTCTGGTCTTTCTTCGAGGACTTGTGCTTAGGTTTTGATTTCGGCCAAGACCAGAAAAGTATGCATCCGAATCTGCTGTCTGCTTTAAATACCACCGGCAGACGGGAGACAAAGAAGGTTGGAGACTGAAGAAAGGGTAGCAAGCTTTTACAAACTAGGGGAATCAGTGTACGCTGGCGTCGTTGGTGAGTTCGGACCGGAGTGAGCGGTGAACTCGGGAAGATATTCACGGGCCGCAATTACGACAAGGGGGAATTTGAACCATGTGGAGTTTTCCCAATTGATCCAAGGCAGAAATCGACGACGGTTCACAGAAGTCTAGGAACCGCAACATTCCTGACTCTTTAGAATATCCTATGCAGTTCTTCTCAAAACCGACATGAAGACTCGTCGATGGCCATGCCGTTCGTTGCCATTCCATTCCCGCAGCAGCGACAGAGCTGCCTCCTCCTCCTCCTCCTCCTCC